TCAGTTGTTCGAATCCCTAGTGCCGTGTAATGGAGTGAGCTCACATTACTTGTCCCAGGTTCTGCCAATCTAGCAGTTCGAAAGCACATAAAAATGCAAGTAGAAAAATAGAGACCACCTTTGGCATTTAGTCATGCCAGCCACATGACCACAGAGAGATCTTCGGACAGTGCTGGCTCTTCTGCTTAGAAACAGAGATGAACACCGCCCCCTAGAGTCAGGAATGACTAGCACATATTTGCGAGGGGAATCTTTACCTTTTACCTTTACTTTTGATTCCTATGTACTGTCCGTAATGACTGGACATAACGAATAGAATCAGTTTTCTGATGTGCAATTCTGTTTGCACCAGCCTGGTCAGCATTTGGAGAAGTCGTGATGAGGCTGGCTTAGTATATTTAACTTCTGATAACTGCTTCCAAGCCTAGCATAGGCTCCACATGCTTATCTATTATCTACTATGCAAGAGAATTGGCAGTTAGTTTATTTTCAGAGATTAACCTGGATAATTGCTATAAGTGCAGGCTGCTTTTCACAGGCCATGGTATTTGCACTTTCATCAAGGAAGGCTAACTGCTTATGAGCTAGAAGAAAATGTGTTGTTCTTCTATTGACCCAGAACAAGAATATCTTAAGAGGACTTCCTGTTTGCTGCTGGCCGCCGCCAGACGTTCCTTTGGGATCGTCAGCTTCCACTGCCTGTCAGAGCCGCCTTCACAACGGAACGGCGGCTCGAAAAAACTCCGTTCCCATGAGGAAACGGAGATAGAGCCGGCAGGGGTGGGTAGAACTCTCTGCAGAGTCCCAAAAGTTTTTCTTTTACTTTTGGGATGGAGCGGATGAGATGCCCCATATCCCCAGCCGCTGCTCCGGGCTTTGGGAGACCTCTGCTAATGCAGAGCCAGGCGTCAAAAGCAAGCTTGCGAATTTGACAGATTACTCAAAGAAAATGTGAGCTGGACCTGTAATACTGAAGCGCAAGTATTTTACTTATCTTTTAAAAATTACTTAAGAGAATAGAGGAAGAGAAAGAGGAAAAAAGTTTCTTTTTAAAATGGCGTCTGCCGCGGCTGGAGAAGAGTTTGAGAGGGAAAGTTCTTCCGTTTTTTATTATTACAATGTAGCGGAATAAATACCACTGGCTACATTTGTAGACAAAACTCCGCTCCTGTTTTTGTTTTTCTCTTTTTTCCCTGGAGGCTTGAGTGTTGCTGGCTGGAAGTCTTTTGTCTTGTTTTTTTTTTTTTCTTCTTCTAACAAAGCCTGCTTAGGCGGAAACATGGCACTGAGGCTTGTGAAGTCAGACAAACAAATAGGTGGGGGGGATTCCCCCACTAAGAATTTAAAGCAACATGTTTTAACTCTTCAGTCCCAGAAACCTGATTTTAATATAATAGAATTTCTCTTAGAGGAGATTGAAAGAAGGGATGAGATTGTGAATCAGCAACTTGAAAAATTTAAGCAGGAAATTAAGGAATTGGTGAAATCCAAGTTTGACTTTTTGCAGCAAAAATTTTTAAAATTGCCAGAATTCATGATTCGGTTGGATACAAATACTAATTTACTAGAGTCAAAAATGGATGAAATTCAAGATAAATTGGACAATAGAATTCAAAAAATTGAAAATGATTTGTTAAATATTCAGGATTATAGTTCAGAAGAAAAATTTAAAATGGATGCTGACCAAAAGTCTGGTAATGTAGAATATCTGGAACAGAGGATTCAAAAAGAGGTTCTAAAGATACAATATAATTTCACAGAATATGCAATAAGACTTAGAGGTTTGCAGGAAAATAACAGAGATGACTTAAGGAAAATATCTTCTGAATTTCTAGCTGGGATTTTAAAGATTCAACCTGAGGAAGTGTTTTGTAGGATTGACAGAGCTTATCGAATAAACTCTTGGACTGCCAAGCAAAGGCAATTGCCTAGAGATGTGGTAATCTATTTTTCAGATAAAGAAATTAGGAATAAAATTGTGCAAAATTCCTTCAATTCTAATTTGCAATTGTATGGAAGAAAGATTTGGATTTACAAGGAACTCCCACCTAAGATACTAATGGAAAGGAAGAAATTTGGCTTTCTGGTGTCTGAGTTAAAAAGGAGAAATATTCAATTCCGGTGGGACGTCCCAGTTGGTATTATATTGAGATATCAAGGAGAAAGATACCAGTTAAATACTGTTGAAAGGGCGGAAGAATTTTATCAAAATAGGTTGAAAATGAATTTAACGTCTTCAGATATAATACAGGATAAGCAGAAGGAGCTGGAACTAAAGACAGAGACTGTACCAGATAAATTGCCTTTGGATTTATCAGATACCCCAGCTGGATTATCTACAAATTTGAGAGAAGTGCCATCTGATTTTAATGTGATGACTTATCAAGGCAAGGACAAGCATGGAAACCAATTAGAGGATATACAAGGGATAAAAAAGAAATGCGAGACACAAAAAATTAGGATGGAGGTCAAACCCACAAAAAGAAAACAAAAAAAGAAATAGGTTGTACAAAAATAGAAATTTCTAACCCAAGCAACAGTGAAGCCAGTGATTTTAAAATATGAATGATTATGTGAAAACATAGAGGAGGCGACATATTGGTCAATATCATCCTGAGGATAGTGGCAGATCTCTGCATTGCCGTAATTTTGGGACATGGAAAGAGCCTCAAATTGATGGTTTTGAATTATCTACTTTGAAACTTCTTTTTGTGTTGATAAATATATTATAATTATCTTGAATTATAAGGCAAGAGAATCACATTGGGACATGCAGAAGATCGGGTTGTTACCCAATACGATGATGGAAATTAATAATCCTGATGAAACCCACAATTATTATTATACGGAATACAATTATAATGTCACTCGGGTGGTTGTTTTTACTTTTATATATATAAGAAGATGTTTACTACTGATGGGGGCAGATATGATTGGAGATCTTGAATAAACTGTTGCATCCGCAAGCTATGTTACCCTATTATGGATGTTGGTTTTAACAATCCAGTGGAAAGACTTCAAGAAGATATTATATGGACTATAAATTTAAAGTTATTGTCTTTTCTTTTTTTATTTAGATATAATGGAATATATATATATATATATTTTTAAGTAGTGTGGGCAGTGAATTAAAGATATTAAGAATTGTTGTGCATGGTAAATTTGTAAGACAGTGGGTGAATAAGCTAGCTACAGACTGATTAGTTTAAGAAAAGGGATTTTTAAGTGATACATTTAGGGGAGTGGAGGAAATGGATAGAGTGGAAAAAATGTTAAATTAGATTTTATGGGGAGCCCGCTTTGAAATGTTATTAAAGTAGGACTTATTGTATAGTTTTAAAGTGGAAGGTGGTTTTGAATTGTTGCAACAATGCATAGATATAAAACACTATTATGCTAAATTAGAGTTATTTTATAATAGTTATAGTATAATGTGTTTGTTTTTTTTTGTTTTTTTTTTTTTTTCTCTTCTTCTTTTCTGAAATGTATGGATAAAGGGGGATTTATAATACTTTTAGTAAGTAAAGGTCAGTATTTTGAGGAGGGAGTAAGTAATCTGTTATGAATTAGGGTTTTTTTTTGTTACGAAGAAGTCACAGGGGGGGAAGGGTGGGGAGGGGGGGTTAGGGAGGGGGGGGAGGGGGGGGAAAAAGGGGGAAAAATTTGTATTTGAAAACCTTTTCAATAAAAAAAAAAAAAAAAAAAAAAGAATATCTTAAGAGAAAAAGAGGTGAATTATCTTGTGCGGAATTGATTTTGCAGGTGTCTCTGTTATAGCTCTGTTAAGTTTTACGTCGCAATTATGAAAAATGAGGTCACTCAAACATTTCTCAGCCATGTTGGTATACCTATGTTGAAACAGTTGTTTCAGAATGAAGTAGTCAGCTTTGTTTGTGATTTGGAAGATAGACAACCTTTTGAACTATTCTTTAGTCAAGCACATACAATGAAAAACAATGATGTATACTGGGAACATTGAGGACCACAGGGAGAATCAAGGAGGACAAGTGACAAAATACCATATTTTTTGGAGTATAAGACACACTTTTCCCCCCTAAAAGAGGGTGAAAATTTGGGTGTGTCTTATACACCAAATGTAGCTCCGCCCACCTGTTGGCCCCCACCCTTTGGCCTCTGCCTCCCAGCAATTTGCCTCCTTGTAGCAAACAGCCCATTTCAGTTTCAGCTTCAGCACAGCCTGATTAGAGCAAGTAGCTGATTGTCCTTGGATCGGTCTCCCGACCATCAGCTGTTTCAGGCTGCAGGGATTGCCATTGCCTATTGCCGCCTCTGCGCGCCCCATTTTTAGCCTCCACTGTTTACTGCAAGGAGGCAAATTGCTGGGAGGCAGAGGCAGATTTTTTTCTTGTGCTAATCAGACTGTGTTGAAACTGAAACTGAAACAGGCTGTTTGCTGTTTGCTGCAAGGAGGCAAATTGCTGGGAGGCAGAGGCAGAATTTTTTTTCTTGTTTTCCTCCCCAAGAAAGGTAGGTGCGTCTTATAGTCCAGAGCATCTTATAGTCCGAAAAATACGGTATGTGCCCCAAAATAAACTACGCCACTTATGTACTTGCACCTAACATCACAGGAATGTATAAACGTTAGGAGCTCACATTTCATCACTTGGGTATTATCCTGGTTAGGAACAAGTGACTGGGAGAGAGTCATGTTTTGGTGTCAGAGTACATGCTTTCCCCATATCAGGTGCCTGATTAGATCTCTTGACATCTCCAGTTTGAAACAATGTCTGGATATCAGGGCTGAAGTTGAGCTGAAGATCTTAAAGAATAAGAATAAACTTTGTTCTTCACATTCTTAAAATCCTAGAGTCACTGGCAACCAAAATACATAGTATTAGGCTTGACTGATCAATGGTCAGTCTCCTATTGTAGGACAGCATTGTAGATTTCAGTCTGTTTAAACTGAAAACCTTGCAGTTGTCTGCATTTTATAACCACACTGAACTTTTCATCCTCTCTTCTTTCTGCTTTAACACCAGGTGTTCCTTGCCTGCCAGAGAGTCTGAATCTTCACAAAGAACAGCAAAGGTCAAATAAGCCAGGAGATGTCCAGATGTTTAGCCAATCAGAATTGCGAACCATCGAGCAGTCGCTGCTTGCTACACGCGTGGGAAGCATTGCAGAACTTAGTAAGTGCACATAATATTTCCTAACTCTTTTGTCCTTTGGATTTTTGAGCAACCACATCCCACTTTATAAACATGCAAACCCCAGAGAGCAGGTTTGTGGTGAGTATCTACTTGTAACATCAATTCATATTCTCTTGGCAAAGTTGTTCAGAAGACAGGTTTTGAATCATGATGAACCTTTTTGCTATGTAAGAAAATAAAGCCTAGGCTTAACCTGAACAGTGCACATTTATTTTTCGTTGGCTAGAATATTAAGATTAGAATGTTATGATTAGAATATTAAGATCAAATTAAACATTAGTGAATATTCACTTCTGATTCAAAGATTCCCTTCTGCTTCAAGGTCATGGAGCTGTGTATAGTATGTTTGAGGATAGGAAGAGGGCAGATAAGGAAAGAGTTATGTGTGTGTCACAGGGAGTAGGATTTTTGCATTCAGCCTTGAAAAGCACAAATCAAATGGTTTATGCATAGGTATGTGTGCATATGTGGATACAAGTAGTCCTCAATTTATAACTATTCGATTATTATTTATAATATAATATATAATAATTATATTATTATATAATTATTCAGTCTGACTTAAGCGTAGTACCCAAAATTATCTGTTACAACGTTCTACCTGTCAATGACTACTTCAGCTTCAACCCCAATAATACACGAGCACACAATAGATACAAACTTAAGGTAAACCACTCCAAACTCGATTGCAGAATATACGACTTCAACAACAGAGTGGTCAATGCTTGGAATGCACTACCTGACTGTGTGGTTACATCCCCAAACCTCCATAACTTTAACCTTAGACTGTCTACTGTTGACTTCACCCCATTCCTAAGCGGTCTGTAAGGGGCATGCATAAGTGCACCAGCGTGCCTACCGTTCCTGTCCTACTGTCCCCATTTATTTGTATTCATTTCCTGTATTCATAATCATGTTTATACTTATATCTGTTATCTTATACATGTTTGACAAACTAAATAAATAAATAAAAATTAGTGAGGTTATAATGGTATTGAAAAAGGTGACTTGCAGCTGGTCCTCGTACTTACAACCATTGCAACATCCCCACAGTCATGTGATCAGCAGTTGGGTGCTTGGTATCCTGCATGAATTTACAACAGTTACATATTGGGGGGGTCATGTGATAGTCCTTAACAAGCTTCTCAGTCATCTTCCAGCAAGCAAAGTCAATGGGAAAAGTTGACTGCCTGCCCTCTCTAAGTGACAGAGTCAGCATATTGCCCCCAACAATCTGGGTCCTCGTTTTACCAACCTCAGAAGAATGGAAGGCTGAGTAAACCTTGAGCTGGTCAGGACTGAGTTCCTTGCAGTGAGCAGGGACAGCTGGCAATATTGCATTCTAACTACTGCACCACCATGGCAACAAATAAATTAATAAAAACTGATCTCCAGAACTGAGGTGTGTTCAGGAGTAAAGGGGCAACCACTAAAAAGACCTGCCTTCTGGTCCATACTCTTCTCTAGATGTGATCTTCCGATCTGCAGATTTTATTTGAGACAGCGACTTCTAATTTGGAATGTAGACTTTATCTCTCAGCTCAGTGTCAGTTCTCTGCAGGTTACAAATGCTCAGTATTTTGATTTGGGCCATTTTTTCTAGTTTTTCCTTATCTCAACTTTACATTTAATTCCAGCCATGCCCCCATTTTTGCTACTGTATTGCAAAGGCTGACTTTAGTCGTGCTTAACCCTCTCATGTTATCATTGGAAGTAGTAATCAGAGTAACTGATATGCATCAAAAAAGACACATAGCAATAATAATTGGCTTTCCCTACTTTGGAATTTTGTTCTGTAAATGCTGTATCCTTGATTGAGGACCTGCTGTTGCTAGGCAACCCATAGTAGGAAATGGTCCCTTGTTGAGATTGCTTTGGTGTTAAAAAGCAAAGCAAGACAATGATAGAAAGAACAAAGACACAAGATATGGATCACGAAAGAAAAGGGGCCAGAACTCCGAGGGCCTCAGACAATGCGCTGTGAAGAGCTTAAAGTTATAAAGATAAAAAAGAAACTTAACACCTAAAATGGTTTACGATACTGATTTGCATCAGCTTCTGTTAATGTCTGTTTTCAAAATTGGTGTTTGTTTGAATCCTTAGAAAAAAAGGAAGCATTAGGATCTGGCACGGGAAACAACTGAGCATCAAGTATTGCTAAATCTATATGGAGAAATCACAAGGAAGTTTACAAGTTAATTGTTTCATTGTATGTCAGAAATTTGCACAACATCTAGTTGATTTTATGAAATGTACATATTGTTCGATTTCAACATAAGAAAAAGTATCTGAAAAAACTAACCCAGTTATGAAGCTCAGAAGTGGGCACATTTTTCAGTATAGATTCTTCAGACAGTTTAGATAAAAATGCTGAAATACTATTTTCTTTAACTGTGGTTTATTAACTAAATTTATTCAATATGTTAAACCATAAACATGTCTAATGAATGATAATGACTGGGTTTATATAGCATATGAAACCAACATACATTATGGTTTAGCATGATGTGTGAAACCAAATCTGTCAGGTTAATTAGAAATTGTATGTAGAAATGAACCAAGTTCTAGAGTTATTCAAAGGGAGAGAAAATATTATCTCTTTCAGTGTTCTAGATGCTGTGTATAATTTTAAACAAGGTTTATCATGTCACTTCTTTTTCTCAGTTTAAAAACATGTAGAAAATCACTTTCTTATCTAAATCAATTAATCAGTTAATTAAATTAATTAGTTGGTTTAGTTAATTAGCACCACACATTCATCCCATCCTCTCACAAGTCTAAGTTTCCATAAGTACTAAATGAATATTTGATTTAGACTTTGTTCTTAAACATATATTTTTATCCAATCTCACTATGAATATAGCAGATTGGTTAGAGCTGCGATGCTGAACCTATGGAACGTGTCGGAAGTGGCACGCAGAGCCATCTCTCCGGGAACGCAAGCTGTTGCCCATTGCTCTTCCTGGTTCCAGTGCATCGGCCAACTGGTCTTCACATGCACAGGAATGCCGGAAACCAGAAGAGTAGGCGCCAAATGCGCATGCGCGTGCTGGGAAGATGATCTTCCGGTTACCGGCACGCGAATGTGCACCGGCCTCCTGGTCTTCCAATTTCTGGTGCACATGCACATGCGAAGACCAGCTGGCCAGTGTGCATGCGCGTGCCAGAAATTGGAAGATCATCTTCCTGGCGCGTGCATGCACACTGGGCAGCTGCTCTTCTGGTTTCGCTCACATGCTCCTGTTTCAGCACTTGGTGCCAAAAAGGTTCACCAACACTGGGCGAGAGGGTTTTGAAGAATAATTAACTCTTGTTCAATGATCCTGAAGCATTTCTTTATTTATGGTTGTACAGAAGCAAATGCAAAACAAATTAAAACTGTAAGAAACAATATAGACTGTAAACAATGATAACAACAAAATGTTTGTGGTATGGCAACCCTATTTACTTAGGACTGAAACAATACTACTGTGTTTCCCCGAAAATAAGACCCTGTCTTATATTTTTTTGAACCCTGAAATAAGCGCTTGGCATTATTTTTGGGGAGGTCTTATTTGGGGGCGCGTGGAGGAAACCAGAGGAAATGGTGGGGACCGGCTGCACATACGTTTAAATATTTTTGAGGATGGCTTATTTTCGGGGGGGGGGCTTATTTTAGTGCATGCACTCAAAAGTCCAATTGGGCTTATTATCAGGGGATGTCTTATTTTAGGGGAAACAGGGTAATTTACCTGTTAGCAAAATGCACAATCCTTTGACTCATTGACATCTGTTCTTCTCTTCTATGACCTCTAACTGGAACCACTCAATCAGGTAGGAGTGAAGCTACTACAACACAGACTTTCTAACTTCCAACCTTTACAGAGAGTCCATAATGATTCCATAATCAATGGTACTGAACATTGCTGAGAGGTTTAATTGGACTGAGAGGTTCTGTAGAAGATTATCCATCAGCTGACCAATAGCATTTCTGTCCCATTACAAGTCTGGTTTATGATTAAAAAGAATTCAAATATACATGTTATCTTGGATCCACGGTTTGTGATTTACTACCACTACTTCCCTAAAAAGAGAAACCAGACAAAATTATCAAACATCATCAGGAAGGACTTCATGGCAGGATACATTATGTATCTCCCTCAGAAAATATTGGCTCTCTCTCAAATTCACTCACCTGCTTCTTACGTAGTCACCTGAAGTAGCCAGGAGAGGCATAGTGGATTCCCTCCAATTAGTGTCCAACCAAGAATGGATATAAGTAACTATCTCCTGAGAAATTTGTCCCATCTTTCCATTAAAGGGTTGAGATTGCTCTGAACAGCATCACTGGGTGATAACCTCTTGATGCAATAATCAAGGAAAAGAATCAACATTTTGATGATGTGATCACCACTCTATAGGATCAAACATGAGCTCTTATCTGTAGCTATTCACTTATTAAGCTGACTTTTGCATTGTAGAAAAATTGCTGTAGATTTCTTTTTAGTCACTTCCTTTCCCTCAGGTCCTTATCACTTAGGGTTGGCAAGTGGGACAAAGTTTCATGAGCGCAATATCATCCTTTGCTCTGCCTTTTCCCATATTCCATTAAGCAGGCACAGGATGGAACTGTCCACCAAGTGTATGGAGGAGGTTTTAGAAGCACCCTCTGGAAAGCCTCCTTACTCATTTGATGTTGGGGTGGGTCATTTTAATAGGTTCACCCTGTGGAGTTTTGGAGCCTCTGCGATGTGCAATTTGATGAGGAAGGGGTAATGAAAGCAACTCATTGTGAAAAGGACAGTTGTTGATATCCTTAATTTTCAGATCATGATTTCTCTGTAATAGAGTAAAGAGAAAGTTCAGTGGGTACCTTCCAAAATAAGTTGTGGCTGCATCTGTACTAAGCCCAAGGTCATTGTGGAATCCATTGAATAGCACTAATTCAGTTCCCCACAGTATGGAGGTTGAAGAAATGAAAGCTAATAAACTTGGGAACTTCACCACTAACTCAGAGCTGAGTTCCAAAGGCTCACTGGGCAAGAAATTAGTTGATATATCAGCAACAAATCTGGCTTGTCAATGGCGCTCAATTCCATGACCAGCATCCATTCATGTCTGGTGCAGAACTCCTCATCGTTACAAGGTCTCACAAAACTCTCCTACTTGTCCTTGACTAAGTGACTACTGTACTTAGGACTTGAAATATAATTGGGCATGTTTCCAATAGGGCAACATCCTTCTCTCAGTAACACATGCCAGATCTGCACACTTGCCTGTCACCATATCATATATGAATGCAAGCCTATCATGCACAGACCTGTTGATTACCAGCAGCAGAAACCAAGGTACCTGAGAATTTAATCACCTGGGCCTAGGTCCTGGTGGAAGAATCATTAACTCTAGATTGTCCTATGTTTTTCTGAAAGTTTTATATAAGTTTGCTAAAATGCTATTGACTTTCAGGGAATTGTTAGGCAGTGAGAAATACATCCATTTGGAGTTAATTTTTGTAGGTTGGCTGTATATAGGATCAACTTTGTGCTCAACAACCCATTGAGAATTATAGACTTCTAAGAAATATAGGATTCATTCCGAGCAGAGTAATTTCCTACCACTAGGAAAAGAAAAAGGAATTCTTTAAAATGAAAGGTTTGAGTCGTAAGATATTAGGGAGTAAGCAGAAATTACAGTACACTGGAATCACAGCCTCTGTTTGCTTTTTCCCTCCAATGTTCCCTCCCTTTTCATATCCTTGCTACACATTTCACAAAGAGCTAGCCTTAGCAATCTGTCTATACATTATCAAACTGTTCCATAGCTACATATAGACTATTGTTCATTAGACTGACCTTCCCTATTCTGGCAGCTACCAGGCTCAAGGAAGAATTTGACATTCTTGCTTAAATTCCTGTGAGCTGCAATACCAACCAATCCACAGGGCATGCGGATAATTTATCTGCTATTTATCTATTTATCTGCATTAAAAAAATCCCAGAGATATTAAAAAAATAAAATAGATGAGTGGCTACAGTCCATGTTTGTCCTGAAGTATGCTGAAACAAAAGGAAAGGAAAAAAACATGGAAGGAGATGTGCACCTGAATATTTTTTACTATTTATTAGGCTGATAAGAAGATACAGGGCTGAGATTCAAAACCAACATAGGATTGAGAATCAAATCCTTGGCATTGTATGATAGCCAATGGTGCTTAAATTGTTGTCCCTCACAACTTTTTCACTTGCAGTTATTTGTGTTAGCACTGCTATTATTCGAAAGCCCATGCCACGTTGCATGGAATAGAGTGCCTGTTAAACATTTCAGGAATCTCCAGAAATCTCAGTTATGCTATCCTAATTTTCGACAGTTAGCAGACACAGAGAGAAAGAGGAGACTCTGCTAAAATGAAAGGGGAACTTGGCCACATGCTTTCCGTCACAAGCAAAGCAAATATTATGTGCTGCAATGAATTTCTTGCCAGGCACAGCATGTTGGAATGTGTCTGGCTCCTTTTGCTAAAGAAAATCATCTGCCTCTGAAAATGTGTTTTATGAATAATGCCATTATCTTCTGTTAAGAAAACGGTAGGGTTTTATTTTCCAGTTGGCAAGACTACTTAGAACAGGGGTGGGGAACAATGTCCCCTTTCGACCTGTGGACTTCAACTCCCAGAATTCCTGAGCCAGCCAAGTCCACAGGTTGTAAAGGGGCCATCATTCCTCATCCCTGATTCAGAACATATTTTGTAGAGGAGTGTTGATTTGGTAGATTTGTCAGCATGTTTGCTTAATGTCATATACGGTGTGTATTCTCATTCTATATTTTATTTGCTATTTTATCCCGTTCTTTCTCTTAAAAACAAACCAATCCTCCAAGATAATCATCTAACACAAGAAGTAAGAAAATGATCAAGGACTGTGAGCATAGCAGAAAAAAATGACCCCAGTTGGCAATAAATAACAAATTTGACTAGTACATCAAACTTTAAAACCCCCAATAATGCATAACCCAATAAACAGCAGCATAAAAGCTTTTCTGCCTCAAAGGCCTCTCGAAAAGAACAGTGACTTAGCCAGGAGTGGAAAACGTCATCATTAGCAATGACTAGGCATGGTTATTTGTTGAAGGCATTGTCCATGGTATTGATCACAACTGAAAATATCTCATTTCTTTTACTTCACGCTGGAGAGGTACAGAGATCAAGGCAGTGAGATATTTATAACGCAGAGGAGATGACACACAGGTTCACCTAAAATAGCTATCTATCTAGATCTGAGGAGATTAGGATTTCAAGGCAAAAACAGCATTTTCAATTGGGTCCAAAAACTAACTGATCACAGATCAATTAAGAATAATGCCATTTAATTAACCCCAGAATAATATAATATTTTAACAAGTTCTTGGCATTAGATAAGTGATGGCATTTAGAACCAACAGAATTTCTATTTAGGGGTAACTATGTCTCCATTTTAAAAACAACATTCAATTATATTTAGCATCATAGATAAAGAATCAAATCATAATTACTATATGTGTATTAAAGCAATTTCTCATCTTTCAATGCAAGCTAGAAAATACTGGGAATTAAAACCCTCTACTTTCTAAGAGCTGTAATTTAGGGGGGCAGCAATAGCATAATTCTGCATCAATAAATGGTATGTTATCTACATAGAGTCCATTCCACGTGTCCCAGAATGTCCTGGTTTGGGTTAATCCATTGTAGAGAAAAGGATTGTTTCCTAAGTGGAAAACAAAATAAAGGTGCAACATGATTGTACAAGTTTTTCCAGCAACAGTGCAGAGATCTTTTGCCATTGCCATTGCTTTCATCTACCAAAGTATTGTTGTTATTTTGATTTATTATAGCCACCACTCCAAAAGACTCTGGATAATTTACAACATATTTGAATGTACAATTAAATGAATTAAAAATACAACAGCAAGATATAACAATCTAAACAAAAAAACATTGAAAATAGTAAAGAAAACATACAACAGGGTGTCCACTGACACCCTTACCTCAACCTCTCTTAAGATTTGACATTGCCTAGATACTGAATCAGAGGTGGGTTTCAGCAGGTTGTGACCAGTTCTGGAAAACCGGTAGTGGAAATTTTGAGTAGTTCAGAGAACTGGTAAATACCACCTCTCACTGGCTGTGCCCCCATCTATTGTCTGCCTCCCAAGTCCCAGCTGATCGGGAGGAAATGGGGATTTTGCAATAACCTTCCCCTGGAGTGGGGAGGGAATGGAGATTTTACAGTATCCTTCCCCTGGAGTGGGGTGGGAATGGAGATTTTACAGTATCCTTCCCCTGCCACACCCACCAAGCCACACCCACCAAGCCATGCCACGCCCACCAAGCCACACCCACAGAACTGGTAGTAAAAAATTTCGAAACCCACCACTGTACAGAATCAAGTTTTAAGGGATTTCCAGAACCCCAGGAAACTGGTCACCATGTATGCCTCATCTCTGGGAGATTCAAGATTGTTTGTAAGTTCAAATAAATTCAGCCAGTGCCGTTCCCTGCTGAGATGTTTCTGGAGTACCTTTGCATGTTTTGAATGATGCAATCAAGGGCTCTGGGAGCACAACAAATGTCTTTTTTTATATTTGTGGTGGAGTGAAGGATATCCTGCTGCTGTTTTGAAAGCGCTTGAAAACTTGGCTCTTTGCCCAGAACTTTGGCAAGGTTGAGTGATGCCCCCTTGCATTATGTGTATTTCTTTATTGTTTCTATGCAGCTGTTGTCACCTTTGCTATCTCTTACTTTCTTATTTTTGTCTCTCAGTGTATTATTTTCTTATTTAATGTTTTGTTTTTTGTTTTTTTTTACTTTTGAGCTACCCAGAGTTGTTGGGAATTGGATGACATAGAAATTTAAATAATAATCTAAAGCACCACTTGAACACCATTGGCATTGACAACATCATCAGTCAATTGCGTAAGGCAACTTTACTTGGAACAGTTACATCCTGCCAAAATACCCTTAACATCACAAACAACAATTGCTTATCTTAGGTCCTTGGGAAGAACTCAACAGGTGGACAATAATGCTAAATCCAAGCTAAACATCTGGCTGACTATGCGACCAACCATAAAGATAGGATAGTATTTCTGCTTTGTAATAAATCTCATGCTGACTATAACTTTCATGCAGTTCATGCACTCTCTGCTTCTATACGTCATGACCAGTGATTATCAAGAGGGAAGGCTATAGTTGAAGTAGAATAAGAAAAGCCACTTAGTGACTTGTTTGCTCCTTTTCAGGTGACCTGGTGTCTCGGGCAATGCACCACCTGCAGCCGCTCAGTGCAAAGCAACATGGCAACACCACACCTTTGCATCATCGGCAGGGATCGCTCTACTGGGAACCGGAGGCCTTGTACACTCTGTGTTATTTTATGCACTGCCCACAAATGGAATGGGAGAACCCCAATGTGGAGCCTTCCAAAGTCACACTACAGACAGAAAGGTAATATTTCTGTTGAATGGACCCACAATTCCTTAATTACTGTATTTACTCAAAGACACTTGTCTTTAAGGTTATTTTTTTTTAAAAAAAGATTAATTAAATAAATATACTCTTAGTACCTCTAAGACAATCCTTTCATTTTAAGGGTACATCATTTAGAAAGAAAATCTAGTCTTTTAAGTAAATATAGTAGTTACCAAATGCTGGCTAAGTACTGCAGGTTTTTTGACTCCATCTATTTTGGTTGGAGTTGCTTCTTCTTGCTGGAATACATTTTGTTTGCCATAAAGCCCTCTGTGGCTGATACAGAATATATCAAAAATGACACCAAGTGGCCACAGGCTGCAGATTGGTTCCAGATGTCTCTTTTGGAGTGATCTTCTCTCTATATATTTGGTTGCTTGGCTGAGTCTCTGAATTGGAAAGGAAACTTACTGGTTCTGTTTGTAGTTTTTAACAGGTTTGGTCTTAAACGTATATTTTTTACAAATTTAATGGACTTCTGCAGTGGTAATTTGGGAATAGCACCTGAATAAGAACCATCATCAAAAGAATTAGTGTCGGAGAGCAGCAGATAGCTAATAACTTCTGTTGAGACACAGAAGTGACATTGAACAAGGTCATCATTCATTATTTTTTGTCCGATTATATCTCAAGATCCAAATCTATGCTGCCTGTAGCCAAATTTGTTCATTCAGCAAAACTGTTTTCAAATATAGGTTTTCTGCAGGGATTTCTTTTTTTCTCAATCAAAAGAATCTATTATTGTGCCTTTAAAGGATCTATTGAAAACCATCCAGTGAAACCTTCCTAATTACTTAGTAGTTTTGCCTCTTTCCTTGTTATTTCTTAGTATATTTTTCTTAGTAATAGGTTTTTAAAAAATTTTTACCACATGGGAATATCAATATGATCGCCTCCTTCTTGAAGTTCTCTATAATGCCCTGATGTAACTTCATCCTGGATTGCATGTGGGACCATCAAACTGGTGGATTCCCATTTGCTTGCTTCTTCTTAGTAAATTTAAACCAGCTAGAATTGGTTTCTTGCTCACCCTTGCACTTTTGTGAATCAATGACACCAGGCACTCTTTCTGTTTCTTCTTTTAATTGTTGCATTCCAGAAATTAAATTACTTCCCCTTCTTCTTTGCTGCCTCCTGCTACTCCCAAAACAGAAGATAGTAGTTAGATCTCAGTAAACATACTGTAGTAGTACATAGTAGCATATTGCATTGAGAACTCCTGAATTACACTGATTTCACACCTTATATAAAGTGGTCATCCCAACAATCTCAGAGTAATACTCAAGATAAGAAATGTTAATACTAACATAGTATATTGAATTTCAATACATATTGCTACTATCCACTATATATTTAGCAATATATAGTGGATAGTAGCAATATATATTGCTACTATCCACTATATATTTAGTGATAGTAAATATACTAAGCAATGTATAGGGGTTATATACTAAGGAATATACTAAGCAATGTATAGGGATTTCTTAGCTCACAGGGGTGAGCTAAGAAATCTAGAGTGGACATGTAGGAACATTTAATTTGCACATATTTTATTTCAAATTGCCACCTCTATTTTTATACCAATTTTACACCCTTCCCCCCAAAAAACCCACAAACTTATGGCCAGGTAAGTTTTTTTTTTAAATGACAGACAGCGACCTTATTCCATAATCTAGTTACATTTTACTGCACATTATTGCAATTTTAGCAGTTATGAAGTAATTGGAACTATATTAAAACCAGAGGAAGGTCTGTTCCTTTTTAAACCTATTTGACAAATTCCCTTTCCCTGGAAAACCACTTTAGGAACTGTGGTAATGTGGTTAAAGCCAGAATAAGCTTTCTGTATGGTTGCCAGGAACTTGTGGTTGATTTGGAAAGAGCAAAGATTCTTTCTGCCACTTAATCAGATGTGCCTTGGTCTTCAGTACCGAAAATCTGGAGTGCAAAGGATTGGAGAGGCCCAGATCTCTTTTTAATGCTTTCCTTTTTAGCTTCAGTTCTCAAGCAGCCTCACAAATGTGATTGGTTAAAGTGGTTTCTATTAGTACTTTCAAAAGTTCCTTTTGTGTTTTAGTTTCTCCAAAGAGATATCATTCTTTCTAGCATATGATTTACTTTCATATGCTAACACTTTCCTTTCTGAACAGCTCATTTCTTTTTTTTTTTTATTTTCTTTTGGGGTGGAATGTTTACAAGAAGGAACTGTTTTTAGTTTTATATACTTGATTTTATATGAGAAAGGAAAGAAGCAAGGAAGGAAGAGGAAGAAGACAGGACAATGTCTCTTCCCCAGCATCAAAGTTCAATACAGCTGCTAGTCTGGTTGTTTTCCATATGTGCATTGCTTTTCTGTTTTACCCTAGAGAGGAATATATTCATCTACTCCTGTATTTTAAGTTCTGAAGATTGAACGTGAAAGATGCACATCTGCAACTCTTGGTTGGTGATGCCCGTAACCTTTGAGGCAGTGGTGGGATTCAAATAATTTAACAACTGGTTCTCTGCCCTAATGACCAGCTGGGTGGGCATGTCTATGGTGGGAGTAACCAGGGGGTGTGACAGGCAGCACTCGGCCTCCTGCTCTCCCCTGGGAGCAAAAATGGGCCACGGGGGGACACCCCGTTTTGGGTTTAGTAGGCCTCCCTGCAGTCTCCTGGGAGCAAAAATGGGGTGTAGGGGCCCACACTGCATTCCCCGGGCCTCATTTTGGGCCTAGTAGGTCTCCCTGAAGCCCCCTGGGAACAAAAACAGGCCATGGGGGGCATGCCACACACCCCCGTGCCCCGTTTTGGACCTAGTAAGCCTCCCTGCACTTACCTGGGAGCCAAAACGGGGCGTGTGGGGACTTCTGGAAGAGTGGGGAGGGGAGTGGTGGGACCAGCCAGCAATTTAACAACTGGTTTGGCCGAAGTGAATCCCACCACTGCTTTGAGGGGGTATAACAAATTCATGGAGCCTGAGTGGCGCAGCAGACTAATGCTACTGTTAAAGGTAGTATTTAGCTTCCAGCTGCCTGCAATTACTGTGAGTTCAATTCTCACCAGGCTCAAGGTTGACTCAGCCTTCCATCCTTTCTAAGGTAGGTAAAATGAGGACCCGGTTTGTGGGGGCAATAAGCTGACTTTGTATAAAATATACAAAATTATGAAGGCTATTGCTTAATACATTGTAAGCCGCCCTGAGTCTCCGGAGAAGGGCGGCATATAAATCAAAATAAATTTTTTAAAAAATGTAAAATGTTTCCTTTCCTCCCAATCCCAAAAGGTGCTTTTTCAAAAGGCAACTGGGCTTTGTTTCTTCTTCAGTTTCTTCTGAAGAAGCTTCTTGGATGAGAAGCGAAATGTCTTCAAGAAAAAACAAAGTCCAGTTGCCTTTTGAAAAAAGCATCTTTGGGACATCCATGACTGAGAATCTTCATAGACATTTTCCTATCAATGATTCTGTTTCTCCTTTGCCTTGGCAATTGCTTGGTTTGTACAGTATTCAACTCTTTTCTGTACCCAGTGCTTGAGTGTCCTGGAATTCTGATAGGGAATTTGGGAGTTGGTTTGCATGCGTAAAACTTTCCATTGTGTTTACTCTGAAGCCCAACAACTCTTCTATTTAGAACCCTTGAGAATTAATGCTGAATTTCTTCATAAAAGAGTCTAGATTAGAACATGACTGTACAACCGTTTGGATTGCCAGGTATTGTGACCAAGGCCCACATAGTGATTACCAAACACAATTCAGTCCTGAACAAACTTATTTTTATTAAAACAGCAGAGAATTAATTTATTCTCAGCTTAGTCCAAAACAAATTCTTCATAAGCAGTCCTATACGGTCTTATCACCAACCTTTGATGTCTTTGGCAACTTGCCAAAGGCTTTTCACAAAGTTCAAGAGACCCTGAAAAGAAGCACTGGCATCAATGTTGCTTTTCTACAAAGAACCCAAAGGCTCATTGCTGCTCTTTTAAGTCTAATGGGAGTGGCCAATCATCTTCTGGCCTTACTCCCGAGTTGTCCTTTTTTCTTCAGCTGCTCTTGCCTTCTGGCAGCTCTTTGCATGCATGCACTAGGAACAGGCTCCTCCTGTTCCTCTTCCTCTCTGCTATCTGCCCCATCTCTGCCTCCGACTCAGAGCTCTATATCTGGGCCTTCCCCTGACTCCAGGACTGGCCCATTGTCCTCCCCAGCCTCCTCACTATCCGACTCTGCTGCCAGGTCTTCAGGCTGCTGGCGGACCACAACACCTGGGCTGCATTGAGTGAAGAGGAATTGTCTTAGAGTGCATTTAAAATATATAATATATTAATGTATATAAATAACATAATAGCGTTAGAAGATTACAATCTTGTGGGGCGACATTACGAGCTGTCTAGGGCCACATATGGCCTCTGGGCTTCATGTTGGACACAACTGGTCTAGAATCTTGTGTGACCTTTCCCCACAATTAGTTGTTCTCAAGTTTATTCTTAATTGTGCAATTTGTTATGAGTCTATTATTGGCCCCATGGAAAAGTTAGAAGTAGAACAGTGTAATCTTAGTGAACAATCAGTGCTCGGTACACATTCTTTCTTTTTGAAAGATGCTGCGGCAAAATGCTAGTGTGGAAATTTCCTGTTCTCTGTGATTTCACTTAAAGTTTACCTTATATGGATTAACTAGTTTCAGGATCTTTAATCTCTTACTTTTTTCCAGCCTTGTGCATGTTTCCCCTTTCCATTCACTTAACAGTGAAAAGACAAAAAGAAATACATTCAAGCAGAGAAGATTTGCAGAGCCTTAATACACATTGATAAAAATTATGTAATTTTTTAAAAAAATCATTTTTCCTAATGTGTAAGCAAAAACAGTGATGGTTAGAAATGCAGTCTGAAACGTTTTTATCATTCAGTTAATTCATTATTTTCACTTTTCCCATTTCTGATCCTCATAGAAAAGTTCAATTTTTTGCCTGAAAATTGAACTTTTATTACAGTTGCTCTTA